TCTGCTAATAGGCCACAAAATCAAGGACATAAATCCTCTCTCACGATTAGTCCAACTTCCCAGATATCTGCTCAGACTGGTGGGGACACACTGCCCAGCTAGCTCTGTGGCTAACTCTTACATAAAGTGGATGGAAAAAGAAAGTAGTGAGCAGGTTGTCCTAGATTTGAGTCTAGCTACTAGGCTGAGACTGTGATGACAGTATTTTTAACAGCAGCAGCGTTAAACCAATATAAGTAGTCAAAGCACACAAATGAAGTACAATTAGCTAAAAGCAAAAGGTGATCAAATATCTTAATACTCAGCCTATGGAAAAAATAAGGAATGAGTTGGTTGGTCTTTTTTAATGAGTAGAAAAGCTATAAGCAGGTGATACTGAGAATCCTGGTGTGTCTGTTTTGCCTTAGTCATTGCTAAGTCTCCTTTGGAGACAGAGGATAAGAAGTCAGACTGCTGTGTGGGAAGCATCGATCACGGAGTCCTGCAGGTTAGATGTTTAAATCACTGGGACCAGAAAGATTCTCTCCAGAGCAGCTGGGGGAGTTGGCGGAGGCAATCCCAGAGATGCTACCAAAAAAAAGGGCAGGTATATGGGACAGATGCCTTACCGGAAGACTGGAAAAGGTCAACAGGCTGTACAAAGAAGACTGTGTTTCAGATGAGGAGCTGGAGACGTGCATGTCAGTTAAGTCAGCGCAAAGCTCTTGAAGATGCTGGAATAAGTAAACAACCTCCTGTTAAACTAGCAGATAGGCTGGTCAGTGGTTGCAGCTGAAAGACATCTGTTGAGACTGCTTCACGTCAAACCCATGTAATTTCCTCTAGGAAAGAGTCGCGGGAATTGTGCAGAGGAAAGAAACAGCAAGTGTGCCAGAACTTCATGTTAGTAATGCTTTTGCCATGGTCTGACTTCGCAGTATCATAGATGAGCAAGGGATATAGTCAGACTCTTATTCCAAAGAACAGCTCTTGTTGAATAATTATTGCTTGGAAGGATCTAAAAATGGGGCTGTACAAACTGGCCTGGGTATGGGACTTGGCAGTACTTCTGTGAAGGACTTTCGAGGATGGAATGAAGAGCGTGCACATCACTCTCCAAGCCTGGCTGGGCTGGTGATACTTCAGGCAACAGGAATATATTTGCTCACCAGCTCTCAAGATCACTTTGAAACAGATTGTGATTCAGCATGAAAAAAATGGCCTTAAATGAAGCAGTTTTTAATCAGATGCTTGGCTGTAGAGCAGCTCTTTGGAAAGAAGCGTGCTGATGGATCAGCAGTTTGTGTCAGCCGTATCACGAACTTGCAACAGCAACAAAGGGCCGAAACAGAACAAGCCAACTGCAAATGTCATCCTTGGATGTACAAAGAACTGAGCCATCTATAAGATATGTGCAATGCTCCTTTTGCTTTTCTTGGCACTTTAGAAGCTTAAGTGGAGCGTGTTCAGTTTTTGGCGTTGCCTTTTGAGTAAGCAAGCTGTGGACCGGCTAGAGAGAGAGTGGTAGGCAAGGAGAGCAATTACAGGGCTAGAAAACATGACCCATGAGAAGAGACACCTCACGACCCCTTTATCAAAGTGTCTTGCTGCAAACACTCGATAAGCCAATATAAATGAAACACTGTTTAATACAGCCTGTTGACCATTTTTGGCTCCCTTAGCCATGGTTTATTAACTACTGATCTAGAGAATGTGGAAGGGAAATATAACAACAGACTTTACGTGCTTGCTGCAAAGAGGAAAGGGACTTTAGCAAGGGAATTTTGGGTTGGGACGGCAAAGTGCTGGAAGGAAGCAGCTGCCTGGGAAGGGCAAGGAGTTGGTGGCAGTGTTTGGTGTAGGGGCCAAGCTGAGGAACCTTCAGGCAGGTTAGTTTGGATGCAATTGATCCTGCTCTACTGAGGGGCTTGAGGACTTCTTGATGTCTCCTGAGAGCTCTGTTTTCCAATGTTTCTAGCCATGACGTGGCTAGAATATGGATTCTGAAAAAGCTTCTGAAAAGGAAGTTTGCAGACTTTAGGGGTAGAAATCTTACCATGAATAAATGAGGCTTCAGGCCTGCAAATCTGTACGTTCTTAAATAAGGCATGTAAGATGTCCTTTGGACTTTGTGTACTTAGTATCTGCTGGATCTGAAGGCTACAGGGCCTGACATTTGAAATTGTTTATCTTATCTCTAAATATGATTTGCCTTTTAAACTTTAGTTCAGATAATAGGAAAAAACCCCTAATTCCTCGCCTGTGTGAAACTAATATAAACCTGGAGCGTAAATCTTGGGTTGGAAACAGTGGGCCCTGTCCTGCAGCAGTTATTTGAATCCACTGCAGCTGCTCTCACTGCGAGGACTAGTCCTGTAGTGTCTTGGGCAGGCTGGAAGGAATTGAAATATCAGCAAAGATATTCCGGGTGCTGACCTGGTGCTTTGGTCAGAACTGTCAATGTCCTTCTCAGTGCTTGGGAGGGTTGTTCTATCCCCAGAAGAGCTAAATCTGGGGACTAAATTAAGTTAGGCTTTTTTCTATTCCCCTTCACGTTTGAGGCAAAAGGAGTTACGGACTGGCTGAGAGCACGTGCTTTGGAGTAACGCTCTGCCAGTGGCCGTGGTGGCGGGGCTTGTGGCTGTCTCTGAGGGCACATGCACGCGCACTGGGCTGCCCGCACCTTTCTCTGTACAGTGGGATAAGGAACCTCCCCGTTTTCCCTCCTCTGCTTGTGTTGCAGGTCACCTTCTACGAAGACAAGAATTTCCTAGGCCGTTGCTATGAATGTGACAGTGACTGCCCCGATTTTCACACCTACCTGAGCCGCTGCAACTCCATCCGGGTGGAAGGGGGCACCTGGGTAGCTTACGAGAGGCCTAACTTCGCTGGGAACATGTACGTTCTGACGCACGGGGAGTATCCTGACTACCACCACTGGATGGGCCTTAACGACCGTCTTGGCTCGTGCAAAACCATCCAGATAGTAAGTGTGAGAGCAGTTCTCAAGGGGCAGTTTAATTTACGTGCCCGTCGTTAAGGGGTTCCAGCGTGCTTGTGATCAGCACCCTTCTTCTTGGGGACCTGTGGAACCCACCTTGGAGAGGACAACTATAGGGGGTGTGCATGAAGTCCCTGCTGTGGCAGTATCTCGGTAACCCCCAGCAATAACCTCCTGTGGCTCCTGCCGTCCTGCGGAGATGCGAGCCTTGCTCTGGGAAAGGCGAGGTGTTTGGTGAACGGGGAAAGTAAATCTCTTCCAGTCTCGTTTGCGATGGGAAAAGGCAGCTCCCTTCGGCTGCTTTGTAGGCGAGTTTCCACAGGAACAGCGACGTAGTTGTAGCCGCATGTTCCTCCAGGGGCTTGATTGTCCTGCCAGGTGGCTCTGAAGTTTGCCTCTCACCTTCCCCTGGTTTATTGCTCTCTGATCCAACTCTGACGGTAGACGCAGGGCTTGTAGACCACGCTGTGGTCTGCTGTGGCCTAATTCCCAACTAGACTCCCTACCGCACACTTTCAGTGTGGCCCGGCATTATTGTGGGCACTGGTTGTGCTGTGGTCCCTCCTCCTGTCTGGCAGAGAGAGGGGGCAGGTTCCTCCCTCTCTGCAAAGATCCCGAAGGAGAAGCTATTCCCGCTCTTTCTGCTACAGATGAGAGCGTTTGGACTGCTTTTCCCACTGAGTCACCTGGAACAGACATCAGCCCCCCTCCTCAGTTCAGACTTCTTCAGGGAGTGGAGCTGCCTTTGTGGAACCGGTGCCGTTTGGCCTGGCCAAGACCAGGTGTTCATCCCAGGAACGAGAGGCAGTTCATTTGCCTCTAGCAAGCCACGACTCTGTTCTGACACAAACCTGAGTAGCACCGAGTCCCCCTGAGTGGTGTCACCATGAGGACAACTGCCTCGGGAGCAGGCCTGGAGCGACCAGGGGTGGGAGGGAGGACTGAAGCCCTCCCTGGGCATGTTTGGAGCAGGCTGGGGTCTCCCAGAAGTGGGAGACCCCAGGTTAGTGCCTGCCTTCCCGCTGCAGCGAAGGAACCGTGCTGCTCCCCCTCCTAACCCAGAACGGGGAAGCACTTCTGCTGCCTTTAGTAGGACCCGTTCTTCCACCAGCAGGAGACGGGATAAACGAAGGGATCCGTGTGCTGCCGAGTTGTGTGGAGCGGGTCTGACAGCAGAAAACAGCTGGGAAGCGGTTCTGCTATGATCCTTACCCTGCTTTTACACCTGGGGGGTCTCATGCTGCTCTGAGCCTGTTCTGGGTCCAAGCGAGATGTAAATCCGTTGGCCTAAGGCAGGGAGAGTTTGCAGCCGGTTCACAGTGCTGATCTGCCCTAAGGGATGCAGCGGCGGCACGGCTTCCTCTACACCGAGGCCTCAGGCTGCGCGTCCGCCCGGTCCTGCTGCGGGTCAAAGCGCCCAGGGCAGCCACAGCAGCAGCATCCCGTGGATCTGAGAGACCCCGCGGAGTTCGACCGGGGGCTGGCGACAAGAGCGAGCTCGAGCAGACGGGCGAAGGCGGCAGAAGAAAGACCGTGTCCGGGCAGCTGCAGATTAAAACCGCCGCGGTGCCTTCAGGCGACTTGGCGCTCGAAATCACGGCGGAAAATACCTGTGCTGTGTTGGGCTGTAACGCAACCCAGCTGGGGTCACTAACTCATTAAACTCCTCATCGCCTGGAGGAGGGGGGAGCAGAGGAGCAGCCTCTCTCCTCCTGCTGCTCATGCTGAGCGGCTAAAGGGTTAAAGCCAAGAGCGGGACAGGCAGCCTGCCTGGGCTGCAGAGCTCAGCCTTTGCCGCCTTGGCTGCATAACGTGTGCTGGGCGGTGGTTTGAGCTGAAAGTGCTGCGCTTGGGCTTGATGCTTTTATTCCCTCTTTGCACGTGAAGCAGCGCTCGGGCGAGAATCGCGCTGGCCCCCTCCCCGCCGTACGTCTTGGGAGCTTGTTGTGAGCCGCTCGGCACTGTCCTGCTGTGCTTCGGGATGGGGAGGGAGGGGGTTACGTCTCATCTCAGACTTACCGAGCCCCAGCTCTGCTCCAGTCTGGCCCTTTTGCCGCTGGAGATGGTGGGAGCCAGGGACGTGTTGATGCCTCCTTCAAACGCTCTGCAAATCTCTCTCCCCTGTTTCTAGCCAAGCGGAGGCCGGGGCCACATTCAGGTATTTGAGAAGGGAGATTTTGGCGGGCAGATGTTTTAAGCCACTGAAGACTGCCCTTCCGTCATGGAGGATTGGCACATCCGTGAAATCCATGCCTGCCGGGTGCTGGAGGGCGTCTGGGTTTTCTACGAGCACCCCAACTACCGGGGCAGGCAGTACCTGCTGCCCAAGGGCGAGTACCGCAAACCCGTTGACTGGGGCGCCGTCACCGCTGCCGTCCAGTCTTTCCGCAACATTGCCGAGTGAAGGGGAGAGGAGCGGTGCCAGGCGGCAGCCGGTCCCCGCTCCGCCGCCGCAGGCGAGCAATAAAGCAATTGAGTCGCTGGGTTCAGCCTGTCCTGCTTATTGCCGACCGTTTGCTGCACGGCGGTCCGAGTGCAGGTCGGAGCGGGGCCTTATCCTTCCTCCCCTTGCCCCAGCGTAGCCGGCCCGGAGCTGAGCCACCTCCGCCCCGGGTGCGCCGCAGCCGCGTGTTTCTGAAGGATCGCGTCCCTGCGGCGGTGCGCGGGGACCAGAGGGGAAAGCGAAGGTTCGAGGCGAGGGTCCCACGCGGGGCAGGAGGGAGACGGCCGCAGGCTCCCGGAGGGATCTCGGGGCCCTGGCAGTCCCGTGCCTAAGGGATGGGATGCTCCTCATAGGCCTGAGACGGAGGAGCCAGGCACCGAAAACGGCGGTAAGCGCCGCATCCGCCTGGCTCGCTGAGAGGGGAAAAGAGGACAGGAGCAGTGGTTGCCTCTGCAAATACCTTGGGCTGAGGGCTTAGACCGAGCTCTGTGGCAAGGCTTTTCGGATTGCCCTGAGACAGGAGCCTGCTAGCCAAATATCCCAAAGAGCAGCAGGAGAAGGGGTGGAAGAGGTCCCTGGGCTGCTGCGAGTTGCGGCGAGGGGAGGAAAGAGAAAAGACAGCAATGAAAGCCAAGGCGAGTGCAGCAGCTTCGGCGGGGGGCTGAGGAGACCCAACCCTGGCTGCAGGTGGAGGAGAGCTGAAGTCCAGCCGGGGGCTTGCCGGGAAATTTGGGGGGGATGTCTGCAGACACCCCGCTGCCCCGGCCGGCGGCGGCTCCCAGTCCGCACAGCAC